TCCCCAGATGCAGCTCCCTGGTGAAGCCATTGCAGGGGAGGCCATTGCATGTCCAAGGCCCACAGTATGATCCCCAGTACCACAAAACAAGGCAAAGCCAAAGATGAACACAAGTTGCTTAATCTGCAACCACAAATGAAATTCACAAACAGGACATGGTGGTGCAGTCTTGCATGCCATCCCTCGGAAGGCAGAGGCAGGTGGAGCCAGAGTTCACCTCCTGCCACATAACACATAACGTTTTAACATAGCGTTTAAAGCCAGCATGGGCTACAGGAATCTCTGGGTGGTGGTTTGGATGAGAATGGCCTGAATAGGCTCATATTTTCCAGCTAAGGGCTGGTGAAAGGGCTCATGGGGGAAGGTGCACAAGCCTGGAGACCTGAGTTCCATCCCTGGAACCCAGTAAGGCCCGGACAAGAAGACCGACTCCTGGAAATTGTTCTGATTCCCATAAGCATACTGGGGCAGCTGGGCTCACATACACGTACATAATGTGCACACTAATGATTAAAAAAAAAAAAAAAAAGTAAAAAGTAAAATCACCCCTTGGCTGGCCGTGAAAGTACAGACAATCTCAGTAATAATTTACAGATGTTGTGCCACCGGCTCGTTTTAGAGTAGATAAAGCAGGGTATATTCAGCCCTACCATTTCTGTTTATTTGAAGTTGATTTTGTTTTTGAGGCAAGCTCATGCTGGCCTCAGTGTTGCTAGGGTGGTCTTGAACTCCTGATCCTCCTGCCTCTACCTCCCCACTGCTGGAATTACAGGCAATATACTCCCTGGTCCAGAGAGCAGTCTCTCTGAAAAGAAATCCTAGGAGACTACAGTCCATACAATTGTTTAGTAACACACGATAAAGCCTCTCTCTCTCTCTACCTTTTTCTTTGTGCAAACACCGAAGCAGTTCAATTTATTAAGTTGATGATAGATCAATAAATTAGTCAAAAAAAAATCTCGTGGGCTTGGGAATGTAGCTCAGTTTGGAAAGCACTCGCCTTGATTTTGGGGGTGGGGGGGACCATGAGTTCCACCCCCAGCATGGACTGGGGTGGAGGTACTTAAATGCTCAGGAGTTAAAGGCAGAAGGATCAAAAGTTCAAAGTCATCTTCTTTAGTAGATACATGGGACCGATTTTTTAAAAAAATATTTATTTATAAAAATATTTATTTATTATTTATATAGCATTCTGTCTGCATTTGTGCCTGCAGGCCAGAGGAGGGCACCAGATCTCATTATGGATGGTTGTGTTATGAGCCACCATGAGGTTGCTGGGAATTGAACTCAGAATCTCTGGAAGAACAGCCAGTGTTCTTAACCTCTGAGCCATCTTTTTCTTTTTCTTTTTTTTTAAATGGGACCAATTCTTAAAAAACAGGTAAAAAGCAGTTTCAATTACATACAACGATGGGCTACAGCACACATTATAAGAAATATATTGGCCAAGCATGGTGCCATACGCCTTTAATCCCAGCACTCTGGGAGGCAGAGGCAGGCAGATCTCTGTGAGTTAAGGGACAAAACAGCCAAGGTTATACAGAGAAACCCTGTCTTGTAAAACATAAACAAACCACTCTTTTGGAGTTGGCCTGCCCATAATCAGACATACCATGTTTGGATATGTATTTTCTAGCTGTTACAATCCAACATGATTTAATGATTAACTCTGCATCAGTAAATGGCCATCATTGTTGGCCAACATTTGTCCATCAGAAACTTACTGTGGTGTACACTTGTAGGCTGAGGCAGGAAGATGGAGTCTAAGGACAGCCTGGACTACGTAAGTTCAAGGGTAGCCTGGGTTACATAATGAGACCCTGTCTCAAAAATATTAGAAGGAAAGAGAGAAAGAAAGAGTTAACAGCTTTTCTTCTTTTATTTTGTGAAGAAACTGTCATGACGGGATATTCCATGAGAATTCTCAGTGTCTTATGATCGTCACACCTCATTCTGCAACATCCTATTGGTTGCATAAGTCAGTCACATTTGGTGTAGGAGACGATGGGAATCGTCAGGGGGCAAGGGTCACCAGAGGCCAGTTTATAGGCTGTCTACTACAATATCCTGGGAAGAATAATGAATCAACAGAAAACGCAGTTGTTTGTTTGTTTTTCATTTTTGTTCTTTTTGGCTTTTGGTTTTTTGTTTTTTGAGATGGGGTTGACTCACTTTGTACACCAGGCTGGGCTTGAACACACAGAGATCCGTCTACCTCTTCCTCCTGGGTGCTAGGATTAAAGACATTCAGCACCACGCCCTGTCAGAGTGTGTTTTAAGAGACCTCTGTCCCAGTCTAGTCACATAGATTAGCGTTGATTCAGTTATGAGAAGGGATTACACAAGATAACGTAAGCCTGGAAGGGAGTCGCCTTGGCAGCGGTTTCTCTCATATCTTTGGAATGATTTTAAGCAATCCCACAGGGGCCGGGAACCTACCTGTGAACAAGGCTCTAACTTTTACATTGGCCCAATGTATTTCCTTATCTACATCTTCACCCTGCGCAGATGCACACCCTATGTACACTGTTACTCCCAGTTCAAAGTTTATTTCCTCTTAGTATATATAATTAAGCATCTAACTTGAACATCCAAAGCTGCACTTAATAATTGGAGCCCTCAGTGGTTAAGGTTTTAAAACTACAGTTTAATATAGGTTAGTACCCGCTTGCTTTTTACTGAGTCTCAGTGGACTGTCTTCCAAGGAATTTCTCTAGGGCCAAGCGTAGTGGTACACACCTGTAGTCCCAGCTACTTGGGGAGTGAGGAATGAGAAGCATTTGATCCCATCAGTTTAAGATCACAGCAGGTAATACGAGAAGCACTGGGCCTATCAGTTCCAGATGGCAGCAGTAGATAATATTGACAGACCTCTTCTAAGAAAAACAATTTTCCGACATGGTGGCACATGCCTTTGATCCCAGCACTTGGGAGGGAAAAGCAAGCGGATCTGAGTTAGAGGTCAATCTGGTCTACAAGTTCTAAGACATCCAGGACAAAAACAAAAACAAAAAAAAGAAAAACCAGCCGGGCGAGGTAGGGCATGCCTGCGATCCCAGCACTCGGGGGGGGGCAGAGGCGGGGTGGATCTCTGTGAGTTTGAGCCCAGCCTGGTGTACAAAGCAGAGTCCAGGACAGCCAAGGCTACACAGAGTAACTCTCTCTCAAAACAAAAAACAAAACCAACCAACCAACCATTTTGTCCTGTCATTTAAGAACCAGTAAAGCTTTTCACAGTATCATTTCCCCAGTCTGTAGTTTTTCCTGATACTGGTAATTTGTGACTACTCTTTTTTGTACTGAGCATTTTTAGCTGTGTTCATCTATTTTACTGACCTCATAAGGGCATCTTTGGAAACAGGCCCCGTAGTGCACACCTGTAATTGCAGCACTCAGGGAGGCAGAGGCAGAGGCAGAGGCAGGCAGATCTCTGAGTGTGAGGCTAGCCTGGTCTACAAAGTGAGTACACAACAGCCAATGCTACACAGAGAGACCCTAGTAACTACGAGCTGCGGTGGCCGATGCACTACCACCACCTGGCCGAGGCTGATCTTGAAAACTAGAAATAACCTTGAACTTCTGACCCTCCTTTTCCAGGGTGCTGAATAACAGGTTTGCTTTACCAGTTGGTGACTGTGAATCCAGGGCATGCTAGACACACTACCTAGTACATTCATTCCCTGCTGTATGTGTGTGCAGAGACCAGAATGTCCTCCTCCATCTCTCCCTCTGAGGCAGGGTTTCTTCCTGAACCTGAGACAGCATCTTAGCTAGGCTGGTAGCCAGCAGGCCCCTGGGAGCACATGATATCTGTGCCCTCCCCCACGGCCAGGCTTCTAGGTATTTGCAGGAACACAGGTATAATATGCGTACCGGGATCGAAACCCCCAGTCCTCATGACCGTTCAAAGCACTCTTAAGTACTGATTTTTATTTAATTCATTTTTTGAGACTGGGTCTCACTATTTGGCTCTAGCTAGCCTTGAACTCTGCCTCCCAAGTGCTAGGACCAAAGGTGTGCGAAATCACGCCAAGCCTTAATTTTTTCTTTTTTCTTTTCTTTTTTGTTTTTTGAGATAGGTTTTCTCTGTGCAGCTTTGGTTGTCCTAGAACTCACTCTGAAGACCAGGCTGGCTTTGAACTCATAGAGATCTACCTGTCTGTGTGCTGATATTACAGGCATGCAGCACCACAGCCTGGCTCTCTACTATTTGCTTTCTTTTGCTTATTCAGGGATTTAATTTTATTTTCCCAATTTCTAAAAATACAAACTGAAGTCATTTGTCTTGGACATCCCCACCCCCTCCCATAAATTTAGGGTCACAGCTAGGTGTGGTTGCTCACATTAGTGACGTGCAGGTCTCAGGAGGGGCTGGTACACAGGACTCTCTGCACTCCTGAATGAACAAATGCTCAGTTCCATTCATGAAGGATTCACTTAAGGCTGAATCTTTATATCCTGACAGAGAACTAATGTCTTAGAAAAAGCAACTGGTAAATGTGGAAAAATTCCACAGACAAAAAAAAAAAAAAAAAAAAAAAAAAAAAAAAAAAAAAAAAAAAAAAAGAATCAAGAAACCAGAAGGAACCAGGTGAGGCAGGGCACACCTGTAATCCTAGCACTCAGGAAGGCAGAGGCAGGTAGATCTCCGTGAATTCGAGGCCAGCCAGAGCCCAGCCAGGTCTAAGAAGCAGTCCAGGACACCAGAAGGAAATGAGTGGTAAACAAATCATTACGTGGACCAGAGAATGGCTCAGCAATGACGAGCACTTGCTGCTCTTGCCTAAGACCCAGGCTCGACTCCCAGCATCTACATAGCAGTTTCCGCCGTCTGAGTCTGTTACTACAGGGGGCCTAATGCCCTCTTCTGGCCTCTCCATGCTCTCTCACAAATGTGGTGCACACAAACTCACATAGGCATACACACATACAATTAACAAATAAATCTTAAAGAAAAAAACAAAACAAAGAAACAAACACAAAAACTTGAAACATTATTCTGATGTACTGTATTAGATTCCTTGAATTTATGTATTCAGGAAAATCAGAATTTCCTGAATACAAACATAAAAATAGAGCACAGAGAGCTACACTTACAGTAACAATATGTAAAATCTCACATAATAAACACAGCCAAAAGAGCAAGAGAAACTTCCTGATATTCTGCTGCAGAATCTTCAGAGCCTGTCCCAAACACACCTTAACATAGACCCACATAAAGCATTCATTTCATAGGCAGAAAAAAAAATGACCTTTATCTCTGAAACAAATTTTCTGGTTTTCAGCTTTGATTATATGCTACAGATATATTTCAAATATAAAAAAAAAAGTCAACAACAAAAGCTGAGCCCAGTGCCACATATCTTTAATTCCAGCATTTGAAGAAGCAGAGGCAGGCATTTCTCTGTGAAATCAAGGCCAGCCAGACCTACAAAGTGAGACCCCCATCTTTAAAAAAAGTAAAACAGCAAAAACCCAATATTCATTCCTAAAATAAACATACATATATATATATAATATTTTATTAACATCCTATACAACGTTGAATACTTACAAAGTTCTGGATTCTAACAAGTCTGACCAGATATAAGCTGCTTGCATGAGCATGTTTTCAGTTCCTCTGTGAGTCACAAATGCTTTTGGTCCATTGGCCCTGTGTACAGAGAGCTCTATTTTTTTTTCCTCTTCTTTGGCAGCTCATCATCAGAACTGCTCTCTGTGCTGCTGCTGCTGCTGCTGCTGGAGGAGGAGGAGCTGGAGTCCGAAGAGGAGGAGGAGGAGGAGGAAGCTGAAGAGGAGGAGCTAGAGGTGCTGTCATCTGAGTCACTGTCCTCTGAGGAGGATGAGGCAGATGTCTCACTCTCGGATGAAGACTCACTGACCGAACTGTCACTGCTCGAGGTACTAGAACTTGTGACACTCTTAGACCTATAAAGTTACACAGAGTGGACATACATGGGAAGCTGACATTCAACACAGTGCTTAAGAACACTCCTGCTGAGCTCCTGCACACAGCCCTAGGCCCAATGTTTGGGACTGCCTAACTGCTGAAACACATGCCTCCTCACTTTACAAGCTCTCCCTCATTTCAGCAACTCTCTCAGAGTTCATAAGGTATACCTCCCATACTATGTCATACTGAGCATGCTGCCATCTGCCGGTAATCAGGAGTTCAAGGTCACCCTCAGCAAAACAGTAAAGTCAAGGCTAGTCTGTCTCACACACAAAGAGAACAGGGCATGGCTGCTGTAACCCCAGCATAGGAGACGCTGAAGCAGGAGCATCACCAAGAATCTGAGGCCAGCTTGACCTACAGAGTGAGATCTAGTCTCAGGAAAACAAAACAAAGGCTAAGGAGAAGGCTCAGCATTTAGAAGCCTTATTGTTCTGTCAGAGGACTGTCATAGAAGTCAGATCCTGGTACCCATATCCGGAAGCTCAGAAACACTACACAAGTAAATAAAAGCAAAAACCAAAGCCAATAAAAGAATCCAAACAAGCCAGGCGGATCTCTGAGATTGAGGCCAGCCTGGTCTACAGTCAATTCCAGGTCAGCCAGTGCTATGCCTGGACTTAACAGAAACATTTTATTTTCATTTCTGTGTCTGTTTATGTGGTGTGTGTGCGTACACAAGTACACGCCAGGATGTGTATATGTTTGTGAATGGAGACCAGAGCTCAACATCAGGAGTTCTCTCAGAGAGGGGTTCTCTCAGCGCACCTGGAGCTCCCTGACTCACCTCGGTTGGATGCTCAGTGATTCACTGGGATCCTCCCATCTCCACCCCCCCAGCGCCAGGATTTCAGGAACCCCTGCTTCACCCAGCTTTTTACGTGTGCATGGCCAGCGCTTTACTAACTAGGCCATTCTTAACAAGACTGTGTAAGACTGTACTGTTAGGACAGGAGAAGGTGGTTCCTATCTTCAGGTATAATAATTTTAGAATGTTGTAGAAAAAGGAAAGGGGAAAAGGGAGCCAGTAAACTCCACAGAAGAAAAGATTAGAAAATACGATGATAATTAAGGGTTGCAAACCAAGGCTTCACACCCAACCTCCCTCCCCCAGGGGGTGTCACGAAAAGCACACCTACCTCTTCTTCTTGGTTTTCCTTTCTACGTTGGTCTCTCCGATGCTAAAGGAGAAAGGCGATAAAAGCTCCTATTAATAAGTGTGACTATACAACCTGCTAGCCTCGGAACTGTTCTGTTCATTATACTATCTCAAGGGCACAGGATTTCTTGTTCTACTCAGAGTGCATGCTAGACTTAGTGCTTCAACAACACATTTTCTCTCTTGTACCATCAAAGCCAGTTAGTAGTTAAGATGACTGAACACATACATTTTTTCCTTTATTTTAAGATTTATTTATTATGTATACAATGTTCAGTCTGCGTGTACCTCTATAGGCCAGAAGAGGGCACCAGATCTCATTATAGATGGTTGTGAGCCATCATATGGTTGCTGGGAATTGAACTCAGGACCTTTGGAAGAAGAGCCAGTGCTTTTAACCTCTGAGCCATCTCTCTAGTTCCTGTTCCTTTTGTTTGTTTGTTTGTTTGTTTGTTTAGAACTTTACTTACTGAACAAGCATGGCAAAAAAATAATAATAATACAATAGCTGTAATCTGAGTTCCAAGAATTACACACAGCCATTTCATACTGCTACAAAAGCAGATTTAATTTTTGCACAGCTTCCAAAATTTTGCTATATATATATATATATATATATATATATATATAAACACACACACAAACTCCAAACTGCAAGACTGTGTTCCCTAACACCACAAAGAGCAGTCAAGTGTGAGCTACATTTCTGCCATTTGTACACTGATGGAGCTTTCAGACTGCAGGCTAGCTGCTCCTATCATTAACACTTGGAGGTTCAAATCCAGGGCTGGGACCTGCTGGACAAGCACTCTATACCTCATAACTTTTCACTTTTTTCTTTTTTCAAATTAATTCTAAATAGAGAAATTTCTTCTTTTCCTTCTTTGCTACAAGGTCTCATGTAGCCTAGGCTGGGCCTGAACTCAGCTATCAGCTGAGATGACGATGACCTCTTGATCCTTCTGCCTTCATTTATGCAGCGTCATGGATCGCACTGAGAACCTTGTGCATGCTAGGCAAGCACTGTACAAACTGAGCTACAGCTCAGCCCAAGTTCTACTCTGGGCCTGTGCTTTCAATATTTTCAAAATGAGTTTCTGTTCCTTGATTAAGAAAGTAGGCTTGACCCTGCCACAGCCATATTCACCACACACAGAACCACCACAGGCCCCTCGGGTGTGTTTTTGCATTCTAACCGGTCTCATGACAAATTCAGTTCAAAGCTGGCCAGAGTTCACATCACATCAGAGCTGTGTGCACTTCCATTTGCTTTGGTATAACAGAAGGTGATTTTATTAGCTGGGGGCAGGCACTGCCTTGTTCTGTGAGCGGCTACACTACAAAAAAGCCTTCAGCAGTGTATCAAACATTAGACTGTTTTTGGTGCCTAGAAATCATCACCTGGCAGAGCTGAATGATTAACTATTTCAGACAGGGTCTGATACATAGTTCGGGCTAAAATGGATTTAGTTATACAGACCAGGTGACCTGGAAATAATAGATTTCTACGTGCTTCTGCCTCCCAAATGCTGAGATTAAAGGTGTGAGCTATCATATTGGCTGAGTAAATACTTATTGTTACAAGTTGGCAAAGTTTAACATTAACTCAGTTTCTAATTTTAATTTTTAGATACACTTCTGAGAAACATGACTAACCCAAAAAGACAAAGTTTTGATACAGAAAAGCCACACAATTATTATATATATGATATATATACATACACACATGTATGTATACATACATATACAAAATATATGTTGTGCTGAGGAGAGTGTCGCTCGTGCATGCTAAGCTTGCTCAGCCACTTGGCTCCGTCCTTAGCCTCACATGAAACACTTGTGTTTTTGTGTCTTTCTGCCTGTTGCTGCTTCACTTCTGGTCTTCCTCTTCCACTCCCATCCCGGTATGGCTTACACTTTGATGCCTCATGTGCTTTATCTCATCTAGCTCACCTTCTAGTGTCCCAGTGTCTATACCTATTCATGCCCGCACTAACACACAAACAAAAACTGGAAGCTAGGCTTCCCGCCTGGGTTTGGGTCATCTCACTTCCTATGACATCTTCCAGTGAATTCCCATCCACTTTCCTGTGGATTTCCTGATTCCATCTTTACTGTGGCCATTCTGAATGGGATAAGACTGAATGAATATCCAACTAGTTTTTTCTGGACTGGCTTTGTAGACCAGGTTGGCCTCAGAATCACAATGATCTGCCTGCCTCTGCTTCCCTGAGTGCTGGGATCATACATCACGCCCGCCCGCTCAGCTCAAACGCCTTTTGAATTTGCAGTTCCCTGATGGAACACTTTAAAAAAAATATTTATTAGCCATTTGTATTTTTTGTAACTATTAAATTCCTTAGTTCAAATTTTAAAATTGGGCTGTTTTCCTGTTTAATGTTTTTAGTTCTTTGTATACTCTAGCTATCAATACTTTGTCAAGGACAGCTGGCAAAGATCCTGACCAGTCTGTAGGCTGCTTTTTCTTTCTTTTCTCAGCTGTCCAAAAGATTCTTGATTTCATAAGGTGTTGTCATTTTGAGAGTGGGACATTTTTTGAAAATAGGGTCTCACTACATAACACTATCTGGCCTCAAATTCAGAGACCCACCTTCCTCTGCCTTCCAAGTGCTAGTACTGTGGGCTGAAGAGATGGTTCAGAGGTTAAGAGTACTGTCTGCTCTTCCAGAGGACCTGAGTTCAATTCCCAGCAACCACATGGAGATCTATAAAGAGATGTGGTGCTCTCTTCTGGTGTGAATATACAGACAGAATACATGCAGACAGAATAATGTATACATAATTAATAAACATCCATGTCTTAAAAAAAAAGAAGATGGGACCATTGAAAAAGTAACTTTTATTCACCTGCGGTAATTGTTGTCTCAAAGGCTTACTGCCTCCATCTGGTAACCTAGGCCTAGTCCTGGAAGCTTCTAACCTCCATACAATCTAACCTATTCTTGGAATGCGTTCGCCTCTGTGATTTACTGCTGAATAAACTCATCCTTTCTAGTTTTTTTTTTTCTTTTTCTTTGTCTGTTTGTTTGAGACAGGGTTTCTCTGTGTAGCTTTGGCTGTCCTGGACTCACTTTGTAGACCAGACTGGCCTCAAACTCACAGAGATCCTCCTGCCTCTGTCCTCCTGCCTCTGCCTCCCTGAGTACTCGGATTATAGATGTGTGCCACCACGCCCAGCATTTCTAGGTTTCTGGCTGGCTGATTCAATTCAGCTGTTCTGGCTCAAACACCTCTCCAAGTTAAGTGATTTTTATCTGGTTTCTCTCAGTTTCTCACTGAATAGCTCTGCCTGGCCTCAAAACTAACTCTAGCAATCTGCTCTAATCCTCTAACTCATTTTTCTGGTTTCTTCTGTCTTCATCTGTGTCAAATTTGTTACCTCTTCAACCTGTCTCTGGAAAAAACTGTTGAAAACTGTCCCTGAAAGCCAGGTGAAGGTGACACACACTAATTTCAGCAGTCAGAGGCAGGCGGATCTTTGTGAGTTAAGGCCAGCTTGGTCAACAAGAGTTCCAGGATACCCAGGAATACCCAGAGAAAACCTGTCTTGAAAAAAAAAAAAACAAAGAAAAACAAAACAAATCTGCTTCTGAGCTGGGCAATGGTGGCACAAGCCTTTAATCCCAGCCCTCAGCAGGCAGAAGAATGTGGATCTCTGTGAGTTCAAGGCCAACCAGGGTTACAAAGAGAAACAAAATTAAAATTTAACTCATATTTTTGTGTGTGTACATGCTCATAGGTGTGAGCACACAAATAGGTTAATAATAGCTACAATACAAGCAAGAGGTTTAAATATGCTGACACTGCTAAAGAGCATCCAGGGCCTGATACTTAGTAACCATTCATTAAAAATCAGCCATTACTACTTAAGCTGGATGTGGTGTGAACACCTGTAATCCCAGAACCCAGTTGACACAGGAGGACTGCAAATTTGAGAACAGCCAGAGCCACATAACGAGAAAGTCTCCAAAACCCAAAATAAATGAAAATATCCCCATAATCAATTCTGTAAATATTTTTCTAAGTTCCTCTGGATACCACATGTAAGCCTACCTTTGCTGCAATAATCTGTTTTCTTTTTCTTTTAGAGCCTTTTTTAGCTCTGCTGTTCTTGAAGGCCTGTGTAGGTACTTTCTTTTCCCTTTGCATTCATAAGTCCAATGTCCAAATTCCAAGCATTTCTGACACCTTACATGTTGCTTATTGGCTTCACTACAAAGAAAAAAGAGAACACAAGTCTTAGAGGTTTTGTATTGTGACACCTTCCAATTTGAAAGAGCGGAGAGTGTCAAGTGATGTTTACTCAAATGGACACACAAATAGCATAGTTAAGTTAATCCATGCACACGACATGAGGTTCAGCGGAAGGAGTAAAGTCTCGGCTCTTCTTAGCCCAGCATGGTGTTTCATGCTTATAACCTTTCACTTCCCAGCTAAAGTAGGAAGACAGACCTGAGTTCAAAGCTAGCCTGTGCTATAAATCGATAGACCATGTCTCAACAAAGCAAAACAAACATATAAAAACAAAAATTTTTTAAGTTTTTCCATTCCAGTAATGATGTATTCGGTCCAACATTTTTAGCTCAGAATGCAAAGGATAAAGATTTTATTTTACTTTATTTGTCATACTGCCATATATTAAACTTAGGGTCTCCTTCATGCATGTGAAGCGAGGTTCTGCCACTGAGCTAGACCCCTCACCAATGGAAACACTAAGTCTGGGGGATGGCTGGGTAGGTAAGGGTGCTTGCTGTAAGGCCAAAGATGTGAGTTGAATGCTGGGTCTGTGTGGTGGAAGGAGCAGAGAACTGACCCCAGCAAGCTGTCCTCTGACCTCATTCCTATGTACTCACGTGCGAGCGTGCGCGCACAGATAATGTAATTTTGGTTGGTTGGTTTGGTTTTTTGAGACAGGCTTTCTTCTCTGTGTAACCCTGGCTGTCCTGGAAACTCACTCTGTAGACCAGGCTGGACTCAAACTCACACTTGAAGAGATCTGCCTGCCTCTGCCTCCCTCTGCTGGGATTAAAGAGGTGCACCACCAAAGCCTGGCTTCTTCATGTACTTTTTAAATAGGGAGGCCTTGGAGCAGAAGAGTGGTGGTACACTCCTTTAATCCTAGCATTCGGGAGGCAGACAGGCCAGCCTGGTCTACATAGCTGTGTTCCAGGACAGTCAGGGATACACAGAGAAATCCCATCTAGAAAAAAATTATTAAAACTGAATTAAACTAAACAAAAGAGAGAGAGAACTTGGGGCTAGAGAGATGACTCAGTTGTTGAGAACTCACTACTCCTGTGCTGGAACCAGGCTCGGCTCTCAGCACACATACACAGCTGTGTGTCCAACGTTCTCTTCTAGACTCTGACGGCATAAGGCACACTCATGCACACATGCATCTGTATATGCAGGCAAAACACCCACACACAAAAAATAAATCTCTTCTTCAAAAGGACGGGAAGCCAGGTGGTGGCAGTGGACACCTTTAATCCCAGCACCTGGAAGGCAGAGGCAGGTGAATCTCTGCAGGTATGAGTTCTAGGCCAGCCTGGTCTACAGAGTTTCAGAGGATGGCCAGACTACACAGAAAACCCCCATCTCAAAAACAAAAACAAAACAAAACAAAACAAAAAAAGCCAAACGAAAAGAGAAAGAGAACAGAAGATAGCTCAGCAGTAAAGAACAATGACTCAGCCAGGTGTGGTGGCACACGCCTTTGATCCCAGCACTTGGTAGGCAGGGGCAGGTGGATCTCTGTGAGTTTGAGTCCAGGACAGCCCTGTCTGGGAGAGGAGGCAGCACCAGCTGCTCTTGCAAAGGACCTGGTTTCAGTTCCCAGCAACCACATGGTGGCTCACAGCACTGAGACTGCAGTCTAGTCCAAGGCATTCCACCCTGTCCTCTGAGGGAACCTGCAGGAATGTAGTACATAGACAATCTCAAGAAAAAAAAAATATGTATTTATTATTTTGGTTTTTCAAGCCAGGATTCCCTGGCTGTCCTGGAACCTGTATACCAGACTGGCCTCAAACTCACAGAGAACCAACAGCCTCTGCCTCCCAGAGTGCTGGAATTAAAGGTGTGCACCACCACTCCCAGCTAAGAATAATCTTTTTTTGATGAGAAAGTAATTTGTATTTTTATTCATTAATTTCTGCCTTATAGGCCAGACTGTACAACTATAGATAACGATAAATTTTTAGCATCCATTCAAAAATTAATTCTAATTTGAGAAATTAGTATTTCAGGCCAGGAAGTAAGAGTTAAGTAAATATAGCAATAAAGAAAGCTGCGACCACGTAGTTGTGTTGAGCCACCCTGCTTTGATGAACTACTCAAAGTACAACTTTTTCCTTTAAAATGTATTCGCTTTCTTTTATATGTATGACTGTTTGGGGCTCATGTATGTCTATACACCATGAGTGTGCCCAATGAAGATGGAAAAGGGCAACAGAGATCCTGGAACTGGAGTTAACAGACAGTTGTGAGCTAGTGCGTGGGTGCTGGGTATTGAACCTGGGTCCTATGGAAGAGCAGCCAGTGCTCTTAACTACTGATGTCTCTCCAGCTCCCTCACCCTCCAGGCCCCACCCAGGCTTACTTTTCTTCTTTTTATCTCTTTCCTTAGCCCTCTCCTCCTGACACTTTGGGCTTCTTCACTCTATCTGAAGCTCCGCATCATTGCCATGCGGCTGCTCATCTGTCAAGACATTACTTACAGACCTCCATCCCTACCTCAAAAAGCACAGCTTTCTCTTCTCTTTTTCCGGGCAGCTGTTGAGATATACTGCTTGCCTGTGCCGGGGTTTTAATTGTAAGCTTTAATAAAATAGTACTTCAGCTTCCAAAAAAATAAATACATAACCTTGTGCCTACTGATATGGGTGTGATTCTTCTGCAACACAGGCTGAACATTCCTAATACAAGCATTTGCAATCTGAATACTTCCAAAACTTTTTGAGCACCAAGGCACCACAAATAAAAAACTCTAAAGCTGACGTGATGACAAGCTGCAGTTCAACACCAGGCACACTGAGAGCCGGAGAAATGGTCCAACAGAAAAGATCATGTGTTGCTCTTGCAAAGGAGCAACGGTTTGTCTCCCAGATTCCATACGGTGGTTTACAACCATCTATAACTCCAGTTCCAATGATCTGACACCCTCTGCTGACTCCCAGGGGCTTCCACCTGCTTTTGCCTCCTGAGGGCTGGGATTAAAAGCATACTCCACCACATCTGGCCCAACACTCCGCTGTTTTTGTTTGTTTCCCGAGACAGGGTTTCTCAGCACTGGCTGTCTTGGAACTCACTTGGTAGACCAGGATGACTCAGAGATCCTCCTGTCTCTACCTCCCAAGTCTGGGATTAAATGTGTGAGAGCCACTGTGACTGGCTAATAAACCATAGCTTAGGTCAGAAGCAAGGAAGTTAGAAGCATGCAGGTATGAGATCCAGAAACAGTATTCTCCTTTCAGTTTCATGTAACTTTGACAGGTTTGAGAAACATGCTATGTCACATGGCCACACAGAGGGTGGGTTATAGCATCCCTAGAGGGTTTTGTTTTTAAGATGAGGTCTTATTATGTTGCCAACGCGGGCCTCAAATTCATAGGTTCAAGTATCCTGTCTCAGCCCCCTAAGTAGCTTACACCACTAAATGGGTAGTTACTGAGTTGGTTTTTTGTTTTTGGAGACTTTGTCTCCCAATACAATCTTGGGTGGTCTAGAACTTGCTATGTATTCCAGGCTGGTAGGTGATCCACCTACTTCTGCTTCCCCAATGCTGTAGCTAAAGGCATCTGCCACCACATCTGGTAGTTACTGGGGTTCAAGAGAAAAAAAAAAAAAACATTAAAATTATTTATTTAAATGGGGCATGATGGCATATTCGTCAAATCTCAGTACACAGGAGGCAGAGGCCAGCCTGGTCTACAAACAGCCAGGGCTACACAGAGAAACCCTGCCTCGAACCCTCTCTCCCTCCAAGAATAAAGAATAAAAAAATTCTAACAGCCTCAAAGCAATTATACCGCTGTCTATCTTTTCCCAAGTCCTCTGGTGACTGCGTCCTTTTATGGCGTTCAGTCTGTCTTCAAATGTCGCCCCTCCAGAGATGCATTTCTAGTCTAACTAACTTGAAGTGGCCCTTTCCTCATCACAGTCTCTTACTTCCTACAAAGCTTAATTTTGTTTGTTTTGCTTTTCGAGACAGGATTTCTCAGTAAGAGCCCAGACTGTACTGGAACTCTGAAGGCCAGACTGGCCTCAAAGTCAAGAGATCCACCTGCCTCTGCCTCCAGAGTGCTGGGAGCATCACCTCCCAGGAACACCACTGTTCGTGTCCTACAAAGCTTTTAAATCACCAGCTGTACTTGTTCAGAGTTATCAACAGGTTCCACAATGAGACTGTAAGCTGCGTGTCTTGAACACAACTGTCTTCACACTTGACACTCCCGCCCGGAGTTGTAGACTGAACTAAAAGAAATATTTACTGAAGGAGAGAACCGCAGGAAGTGAGCTAGTAGATAGGAAAAGAAAAGGCATTGCAGATTGGCTTGTTTCTAGGAAAAGCGGTAAGAAGGAGATGGAGAACGAAGCAGAGGGAAAAGTTTGGGTCCTCAGGAGGGAAGGTGTGGGCATGCTTCTAGGCTATCCTTGAAAACATATGGAACGGACAGAGGGAAATAAACCACCCAGCGACCAACTCTCGGATTCATTTCGGACTCTCTTCAGATCCCGCTCAGTCCCGCAGCCCGCGCCCGCTCACTAGCCAGCCGACTGGCATCTGCACGCCGCAAGCCCTACCCGCAGACCGCTCCCCCCGCCCCCCACAGGCCGATTCACTTACGCTAGTCTCCGAGCTATGAGCCGATGCATGGGAGTCGCCATCTTGGAACAGTCGGAACTCGATGCCACGCACGGGCTTTTGGGAAACTCCGAAGGGTAGGCGGGACCTTAAAGACCTCCGCGGCCCTGGGCGGGGCCAGACTGGCTCATCCCAACCGACGCGATTGGTGGCCGCTGGATGGTGTGTTGACTCTAATGTCTTGTGGTGGTCTGTGTGAGCAGGGCCTTTACCATCAAGCAGTATTCTCAAAGGAGGGATCTGTAATCTATGAAGTGGAATTGTGTAGTGTTCAAAACACCTGTATTTGAAGCGTGCTCGAGGCTGAGGCAAGAGAATTGCTGTGTTTAAAGGCCCACCTGCGAAAAAGTAAGCCCCCTAGCTCAGAAAACAAAACAAACAAAAAAGCCAGGCTTTGGTAGCCCAAACGCCTTTAATCCCAACACTTTCTGTGACTTCAGGGCCAACTTTGTCTACAGAGTTCCAGGGAAGCCAGGGTTGCACACAGAACCCTGTTTTGAAAAACAAACAAACAAACAAAAACAAGAAATTACAGGTGTGCATCATCATGACTCGATCATTCTGGTTTTCGGTTTTTTTTTTTTTTTTTTTTTTTTTTTTTTTTTTTTACGAAGATCTGTTTGGACCAGCAAATGTCTCAGTTATTCATTAGATTTTAATGTACATTGGTGTTCTGCCTGCATATATGTCTGTGTGAGGGTGTCAGATCACCTAGAACTGGAATTATAGACAGTTGTGAGCTGCCATGTGAGTGCTAGGAATTGAACCCAGGTCCTTTGGAAAAGCAAGCCAGTGCTCTTAACCACTGAGCCATCTCTCCAGCCCCTAATTTTTGATGATGATGATGATGACTTTAGTCTTTAATTTTCCAGGCTGGCCAGAAACTTAGCTCAGATTGGCCTAACTCCTCAGTGATACATAGCAACACGAGTCTCTAATCCCAGGACTCAGATGTAGAGGAAAGAGGACTAGGAGTTCAAGGCAAGCCTGGGCAAATCTGAGGCTAGCCTGGTCTTACATGAGACTTTGTATTAACACAAAGGGGTTTTTTTTTTTTTAAGCAAAAGAAAATGACCTTAAAATCCTGCTGCCTTCATCACTGTGTCACTATTTTAATATGATTTTAAAGTCTATTTTCATATCTACAAAACCAAATCTCTCTTCATTATTTCTTCCTCTACCCTATACTAGATTAATTGCGTGTAGGCATGTTTTCCTAGATGAATTGCTTGCTTGCTTGTTTTAACTTTTAATTGATTCGTTGTGGGTTTCACATCATGTACCCCAGTCTTGCTCATATCCCTACCCCCTCCTATCTGCCCTTTTTGGCCTTGTAACCTCCCCTCAAGATGAAATTATTGAGTGAAAGTTTGGGGGCTTCAGATGTAGCTCAGTGGTAGAATTGTTACCCAGTCTGTGTAAAGCCATGGCTTCGTCCTCTTAGCAACACACACACAAAAGAAATAATTTTCAAGTTTCCTGAAAAATAATTGTGGTGGTTTGAAAAGAAATGTCCCACAAGCCGGGTGTGGTAGTGCACACCTGTAATCCTAGCACTCAGGGAGGCAGAGGCAGGCAGATCGCTGAGAGTTTGAGGCCAGCCTGGTCTACAAAGTGAATCCAGGACAGCCCAGGCTACACAGAGGAACCCTGTTTCGAAAAAACCAAAAAGAGAAAAAGAAAAGACATGGTCCCCCAAGACTCTTGTGTGTGAAAACTTGGCCCTGAGTGGCATTGTTAGAAGGTGTGGCCTTGTTGGAGGAAGTGTGTTACTGTGGAGGTAGGCTTTGACGTCTCATATGCTAGGTATAGTGTGGCAAGTTTTTCTTCTGCTGCCTGTGGATCTAAATGTAGAACTCTTGGCTCCTCCAGCACCATGTCTGCCTGCTTGCTGCCATGCTTCCCACTGTGATGATAATGTATAAAACCTCTGAAACTGTAAGCCAGCCCCAATTAAGTGTTTTCCTTTATAAGATTTGCTTTGGTCATTGTGTCTCTCCATAGCCATATAAACCCTAACTAAAACAATAAGATTAAGATTTGTTTTTTGAGACAGAGTCTAATTATGTAGAGTTAGCTATCCTGGAACTCACTATGTAGGTAACTTTAGCCTCAAAATCATACAGGTTCTGCCTACCTCTGCCTCTTCAGTGCTGGGATTGGTATGTGCCGCCACACCCTGCTCTTATTAGCTAATTTCTAAAAACTATTTATTTATTGTATATGTATGTGTGTGGGCACAAGTGTCCCTTGCCACTTGTGTGGATGTCAGAGTACTCCTTCTACACCAGGAGTCCCAGGGATTAAACTCTGGTTGTCCATCTTGGCTGCAAGCAACTTTACCCACTGAAACATCTAGCCCCTCCTTGTTAGCCAATTTAAAAGGATATATATTATAGAAAGTATGAGAATGCAAGAGACAGATGGGGTATAATAAATGGGAAAGGGGAGGCAAATGTTATTTCTTGCAATATTTGGGCTGTGCCTTTTGGAAAGTCTAGGAGAATTAACGAAGAGCCTTCCTGGACAGCTCAGGATAGAGGTTAACCACACATACATTCAAATACAATGATTATGTGTATTCCCAGAAGAACCAGGCTGAATTTTGGACACTAAGATTTTGAAAATACTGCTGACAAAAATTAAAATCTCATGAAGAAGCTACAGATGATTTCTACCTGGCATGAGTGAATACTTAACTAGACTTAAAACAGACTGTTCCTTTATTCCAGCATGGCCTCCTATCATGCATTCTGGTTTTATAGGGTATATACTCACTTATATAGACCTATAAGATATGATAAACATAATGAAATCTATACACCTAAAAAAGATAATCAAGAGAGCGGACATGGGGTAAGATGATCAATCCTCATTTAGAAAGACAGATGGGATGTGCATTGAACGTATGACAGGAGTCTACTGAGCGCATTTGAAATACTCTAACTAGCAGTGTTTTCAAAGCAGATACAAAGACTCATGACCAAACCTTCGGCAGAGTACAGGGAATCATATGAAAGAAGGGGAATTAGTATGACGGGGAAAGGATAGGAGCTCCACAAGGACCAAATATATCTGGGCACAGGGTCTTTTCTGAGACTGACATTCAACCAAGGACCATGTATGGATATAACCTAGAACCTCTGCTCAGATGTAGCCTGTGGTAGCTCAGTAACCAATTGGTTTCCCATAGTGAGGGGAACAAGGACTATTTCTAACAGGAACTCAGTGCCTGGCTCTTTGACCTCCCCACCCCCCAAGGGAGGAGCAGTCCTGTTAGGCCACAGAGGAGGGCTTTGCAGCCAGTCCTGAAGATACCTGATAAAACAGGATCGGATGAAAGGGGAGGAGGTCCCCCCCATCAGTGGACTTGGAAAGGGGCACGGTGGAGATGAGGGAGGGAGGGTGGGATTGGGAGGGAATGAGGGAGCGGGATACGGCTGGGATACAGAGTTAATAAAATGTAACTGATAAGAAAAAATAAAATAAATCTTGAAATAAATTTTCTATATAAAGTAAAAAAAAAAACAAAAAAACAAAAACAAAAAAAAAAAACAGAAAAAGGACGGAAAGGCCTGGGGTGCAGGTAGTTGCATTTCTGGCCTTACACGCTCTCATGGTTACGATGAAAGCTGAGCAGTAACAAGGCCTGTTTTTAATGTTCTGCTACCTTCTTCCTCACATTCTCTTTGTTTTGTTTTTGTTTTAGCTGTTTTGTTTTTGTTTTTGAGACAGGATCTCTTCTCGGTAGCCCTGGCTACCCTGAAACTCACTTTGTAGACCAAGTTGGCCTCGAATGCACAACAATCTGCCTGCCTCTGCCTCTGCCTCCTAAGTGCTGGGATTAAAGCATGTACTACCATCCCAAGCTCAACATTCTCACTTTTCTTTTCTTTTTCATTTTTCAAGACAGGCTTTCTCTGTGTGTGTAGCAGACTTTGCACCCCAAGTGCTGGGATTAAAGGACCGCACCACCACAGAAAGAAACACGGCATTTTAAGTTTGCAGTCCCTACAGTTATATAACTTTTCCTAATACTGAGAAGTTCCTGGAAGACCCTATGAGTTTCTGAGCACACTGTTGGCACACTGAGCGTAGGCCTTGGATGTGAGCTTACAGACTGAGGAGTTGTGGGTGAAAGGCCGGTTCCTAGCCAGAGTTCTCTGGCTGCATGATGTTCATCAACTCTTTGTGGCAAGGGTTCACTGATCCAGTACAACAACTGAATTTCAACCAATGGTGGACCTGGCTTTGCTGTTCAAAGGTGGGATGGCACAACTGGCCCAAAACTTAGATTTTTGTTTTGTTTCTTTTTTAAGATTTATTTATTTTATTATGTATATGATGTTCATGTACACCTACCTAAATGTCAGATCTCATTATAGATGGTTGTGAGCCACAATATGGTTAATGGAATTGAACTCAGAACCTCTGGAAGAACAAGCAGTGCTCTTAACCTCTGAGTCATCTCTCCAGCCCTTTTTTTTTTTTTTTTTTTTTTTTTTTTTTTTTTTTTTTCC